CAGGTGTTGACTTGCCCAGCAGTTAGAGCTGCTTGGTTGAGGATCTGGATGTCATTTTAAATTTGAGGCAAAGTTTTTCTATTTATATCTGTGGCCTCTCACAACCACTCTGAACGATAGGGCATCTTACTCAATCTGGCTCCCCTGCCGTAAAGATAAAACTTAGTGGGTTGTGGGACTTCCCCAAGACCACAGTTAGAAGTCTGATTGGAAATCACTATCTCTGAATTTTCAGTCTTACCAATTATTCTATCTGATCCTGCCTAAAAAGAAGAAAGAGAGAGAGAGAGAGAGAAAAGAAGGAGGAAAGAAGGAATGAAGGAAGGGAGGAGGGAAGAAGGAAGGAAGGAAGGAAGGAAGGAAGGAAGGAAGGAAGGAAAAGAAGAAGAATAAAGTGGTGTTTTTGTTTCAAAAATTTACGATACCAGGTTGTAAAAACAGTATTAACTTGTAGACATAACTATATCATTCTTCTAGTCTCCTTTACAGCTTGTGATCACCTGTCTTGTTTAATCTCCGTCCATCTACCCAGACTTATATCCTGCTCAACCTACGCTCAAGCAAAAGGATGCATACCTAAGGTGTCGTAATGTTTATATGGGAAGGACAACTCATCTTCCCCCCTATCTCATGGCAGACATGGCTGGCTGATTACAGTACTTTTTTCACTCAGCCCAGATGAAGCCTCAGAATCCTCCTCACTCCAGAAGACTAACACCAATTGATTTGGATTGAAGCGTCTTCAACTCCAGCCAGGTTAGAGCACAATCCTTCAATTCTGCAGCGTCGTCACCCATGAACGTTGCCTCTGCTAGTTGTGTGATCCTCAGTACACTTCATCCTACTGAAATTCACTTTCCTCGCCCCTGAAACGAGTGTCATATAATTACCCCGCATCGAGGCTCTAATAAGACAGCGTGTGTAAAAGCACTCTGCCAACATACAGAATGACGGCTATTACCTCTAGCTTTATACAATGGTTAGTTTTATTCCACTCGTTTTAATTGTTCCCATCATAACTGGCTCTCTCCCTCAGGAAATTCTGGACTGCCTTACACACCGTAGCGCGTCACTAGCACATGACTTGTTCTCCAGAAGCATTAGTCTTCTGGAGACTAGTTCTTAGTCTCCACAACAGACTCCACCTGTTCCTGCCTCACTCCTGCTCACCCACCAACTATTAATGTCCACAGGGTTTTCACCTACAATCTGCCCCAGTTAAATAAATTGCAAAACATAGCATCTCAGAGGATTTAAAAACAATTATCTCAACTGGTTTCACGAGTCTGCGGCCTTCTTTCCGCACAGACGGAAAACCCTGGAAAGAAGTATGTCAGTGGCAGGGGCATCCAGGCCTTCCCCTCCCTAAGACAATGAGGACGGCAATGCTGCTGATGGCGATGGCAATAAACACCGAACATTTCCCATGTGCCAGTCATTGATCATTAACCTTTATAACAGTCACATGTGATAATATTGTTATCTTCACTGTAGATATCAGGAAATTGGCATAGAGAGGCTAGACAACTTTCCAAAGCCATGCAACTGTGAAGCTGTTGAATTAGCATCCTCCAGAGAAACAGAACCCATAGGAAATAGATAGAGAGGTAGATAGAGATGAGATTTATTATAGGATTGGCTGATGCAATTATGGAGGCTAACAAGTCCTATGGCCTGGCCTCTGCCAGCTGGAGAACCAGGAAAGCTCGTGATATAATTCAGCCGGAGTCCAAAAGCCTGTGAATGAGAGTGGGGAAGGGTTAGGAGGGATGCTGATGATATACTGAATCCAAAAACTTGAGAATCAAGAACATTGGCCCTCCTCCAAGAGCAGGAGAAGATGGATGTCTCGGCTCCAGCAGAGAAAGAGAATTTGGCCTTCTTCTGCTTCTCTGTTCTACTCAGGCCATCAATGGATTAGATGAGGCCCATGCACACTGGTGAGGGATCTTCTTTACTCAATTTACTGATTCAGATGCTAACCTTTTCCGAAGATCCTCTGCCAGACACGCCCAGAAATAATGTTTTACCAACTATCTGGGTGTCTCTTAACCCACTCAAACTGACACATAACCATCACGGTAAAAGCCATGCCATTATTAAGCAAGGATTTAAACCCAAGCAGGCTGGTTCTAGAACTTATATTCCTATCTCAACGCATTCCTGCTTGGTTTACCCTGGCCCTTCTCTATGGATGTGTGGAGGTTGTGTCAAACAGAATAGGTTCTCTCAGGATGGTGTGATGATGGAGCCAGACCCTCTTCCTTCCTTGGCCCCTTCCGGCATCTACAGAACCCGACGGGCACTGCCCAGGTGCTGCCTGATCACCCTGCCCGAGGCCGTACACCTAGAGCATGGGCTGGGCTTTTAAATATCTCATAACATCTTTTTTGATAGCTATAGAAATATAAAGGCATATGCCAAAGTATAAGTAAATTAACTAAGCGTGGCAAGTCAAATGCAAAGGCAAATGGAGACAGCAGAACAAACAGGATAAAGGGAGATTCTGGCTGATTGGGTAAAAGGCCAAAAACTTCTAAAGTGCCAGCTAATCCGTTCAGAAGTTAGTTCAGAGGAAGACCAATATTTAAATCCACATAATCCTTTCACAATGTAGATATGTATCAAATTATCGTGCTGCATATTTTAAATATCTTACAACTTTATGTATCGATTATACCTCAATAGAGCTGGAAAAAATCAATAAATATGGATTAACCAAAATTTGGTATACTCCTCTTGTGCTCCACAAAGTGGTTTCTAAAAGCAACTAAAATCTTGCAATGTGGCTTACAATAAAATAATGAGAAAGAAAAATTAATAAAAAGTAGGCCAAGGAAAGAAAAATATGCCAGTTATTGGGCTAATACAGTTAATAGCATTTTTAAGCTTTTTGCTCAAAAAATTCAAAATGGATCTTTAAAAGGATCCTTATGAGTTAAAAAAAAAAACTTGACATTTAATTCAATCCATTATTCAACTATTTCGACAAATATCTGTTGATGTGCTCTCCACAAATAAATAGAGACGTTTTTAGATAAATAAACTAAGGTTTTGCCACTAACAAATCCTAACTAGAATAGCTGCTAAAGCATATGACTGAGTTGAGTATAAAGTGGTTCTTAGGTGGAAGCTCTGTTCTGAGTTAATAAATGATGGTCAAGTCAAAAATAATTTAAATCCATATAAACCAGATAACTCAGCAATTATACTTGTAAAAGTCACCCTTGACCATTAGGTGGTCACTTACACTTTTTATTTGTTTTATTTTTAATTTTTTAAAAATGTTTACTTAGTTTTGAGATGGAGAGAGAGAGAGAGAGAGAGAGCGAGCATGAGCAGGGGAGAGGCAGACACAGAATCCAAAGCAGGCTCGGGGCTCTGAGCTAGCAGCACAGAGCTTGCTGTGGGACTCAAACTCATGGACTGTGAGATCCTAACCTGAGCCCACGTCAGACGCTTAACTGACTGAGCCCCCCAGGTGCCTGTCACTTACATTTTTGATATGAGAGGCACTAGGGCTTACATGATGCCTCAAAATATTTTTCCAGTTTTACAAAACTGGAAATTCTTCCAGTAAAGAATCATTCCTGTGAACCAGAAGGGTTTTCTTGCCTTCAAGCAATTATTTCTGGACTTATCTCTAGGCGCTGAACAGTGTTCCACTGTTCCACCTGTGGATCTCTCCATGACTTTCCAACATGGACCATTCCATGCCTTTGTTAATGCCTTTGTCTCTCTACCTGGACAGTGTCTCCAACTTGTCTCCTGTTGGACCAACAATTCTCTAAGATGCCTAAGTCTTTTCACTACTTTCCCTATTCTAAGACACATGAGTCCTTCTAGAATTTTCTGAAGACTTTTATTGTAACTCATCGCACTATATTATATCGTGGCTATCATCACACTACTAGAGTTCTTTGTTGCCTTCATGGTCTTTTTGTAATGTCTGGATATGAGCATCTTAAAGGCAGGGGTCCTAGCTTCTTTTCTTTGTCATTTCTATATCCCTAGTGTCTAACACAGTGTCCTACACATGGCCCATCTTCAATAAAATTAGAAGGAGGAGTGGGGACTGTTAGCAGCTTTAGAATCTTTATAGTTCACAGCACTATAGGATCATGGCAGCCAGCTGTGAGCAGTGCTTGATAATCCTGAGAGCAGCTAACATTCTTGGAACACCGAGAGGGCACTGGACACTGTCCTGAGCACTCTACTCGAATAGGCAAAGAACTGAGGCCGAGAGAGCTAAATTAGCTGCCTAAGGTGGTCGGGGTTAAATCTGATCCAAACCAAGGCAGACTGGCTTCAGTATTGGCACTCTCCATCACTCTGTTTTTCTGCTTAAGGAGGAAAAGAGGAATACCATAAGTAGAAAGGAGGTGAGTGCAATTAAATGGGGGGAGATAGGAGACAAAAACATATTTCACACATTCCACAATTCTGGTTTTGCCAGAAGGAAAAAAAAAAACCTAACAAAAGTCTCACCGTACATAACATGTTAGAAGGACTTTGAAATACAAGTTTGTGATAAAGTCCAATTAGCTAAAACAAAGCCTTGAGAACCATCCCAAATATCTAAACAAGCATTTTACCCAGAGAGAGTCATCCTTGATTGAAACAAGGACAAACAACATAACTAAAGGAAGGAAAGCCATGATGAGCCATGTGCAGAAAATTTAAACTAAGGCAAAAACATTCGCGGCTTTGTTTCCACTTAACTGATTGCTGGTCACATAGGAGATAGTTCATAGCTACCACAGTTCTAAAACTGGACGTGTGTATCGCCGTGCAAAGACACTGCAGAGTTTTGTTTATTATTGAAAAGTAGTAAACAACAGGCGGAAAAGACCACAAGAAAACAGGGGGACCCTGAAATATTGTGCAAAAACGAGGCTCCCACAGATATAAAAATTCAGCGATACAGAATCTGTGCAGCCAGAGGCGATCCACAGCCGGGCTCTCTCCGGAGAGGGAGTCACCCTGCAAAGGAACCCACCATGACCAGCCGGAGCTTGCCGAGCTGGGCTTTGATGCTACTTCTTTCCAGTACTGCCTGCTCTCTGGACTGTCACTTTCAACGGAGGGGCATCTGGGAGATTGTACAACATTTAGAGAACCTTGGAGGAAAATTTCCCCTGAGATGTCTGAAGGACAGAAGCAACTTCAGATTCCTCCAGGTTGCAAAAATCGACCAGCTTCCGGAGGAAACTGCTTTCCCGGCCATTGGAGAAATGCTGCGACAGGTCTTCAACACTTTCAGCCTGAATGTCTCCCAATCGTTGTGGAATGAAAGCCGTTTAGAGAGACTCCTAAGTGGACTGTATCAGCAAACGGAGAAGACAGGGGTATGCCTGGAGCAGGACTCTGGGCAGGAGGATCATTCATCCTCGCAAAGGGAGGGTACCAGACTTGCAATAAAGAATTATTTCCAAGGCATCCGTGACTATTTGCAAGGCCAAAAGTATAGCCACTGTGCCTGGGAGGTCATCCGTGTGGAAATCCGAAGGTGTTTTCTCTTCATTGAGCAGCTGACAAGAAGACATCGGGACCAAGAAATAGGTCACTTACATAACTAACTAATGTGGCACTGATCGCTAGTATCATTTTAGATGTCTCTTCAAACCAACGTGGTATTTCTAAGCAGTTTTTTATTTATTCTTTTTGTAACTTAGGATAATATTGTCAGTCAGTTTTCTGGATGGATAAAACCATGCTCATCATTTGCAAATTATTAGTTTAATGGATTTGTTTATTAAAGTTGAGCAAACATTTGTTATTAAAATAGTAATACTATATTTGATGACTTATATATAAAATATCATTTTAAAATTAAATGATTCTTTTATTTCGTTTTTACAATCAAATCTTCTAAATTCAGTCTTCTTGTAACTTTGCTCAAATGGTCATCCTCAGACTGCTTCACTTGACAGAGTTGAACCTATCTTTAGGATCATCTCACAATGCAGAAGGACCATCAACCAATACAGAAGATTGTGGCGGTGATGAACAATTTGGCAATTTCAGTTCTCAGTAAGTCCTGACCTGGAGCGAGAGCAGGAACACGTCTTTTGCCCTAGCCATCATCCCAGGCTTGGGCGTACCTGTCCTCTATTTTAGATGTTATCTGAGATTTCATAAGAGAATGAGAACAAAGAAAATCATGGAGATAATGATGATAGTGAATATGAAAAAGCGAGGGAAAGGAAGAAAGGTGGGGCAGGAATTTCTGAGGTGCACTCTTACCATGTCTCCTCATACTCACCAGTGTGGAAAGCCCTGGAGGATGGTCGCTCCCCATTCTCAGACTTCCATTCTTCCACTTAAGCCCATCACCGATCAATCATCCATCACTGATGTCTATTCATTCAGTGTTGTCTTCCAGTCTACGTGAAGCTCGGGGCCACGTTCTCAATCTCGCAATTTAGGCAGGGAAACTTGCATATGGACACGCAGAGGAGAGGTCCATGTGAACATGGAGGCAGAGACCGGAGTGATGCATCCATAAGTCAAGAAATGTTAAGCATTGCTAGGGGTCAGCAGAAGCTAGGAAGAAGGCAAGGAAGGATCCTCCCCTACAGTCTTCAGAGAGAATAGAGTCCTGCCAATACCTTGATTTTGGAGTTTTAGCTCCTAGAACTGGAAGGGAATAAGTTCCTGTCCGTTTAAGCCACCTAATTCGTGATACATTGTTTTGGCAGCCCTCTCTCACTACACGGAGAGAGAAGATGCATCTTCCTGATCTTGAATTTGAGTGCAGAGAAAAACAGAGTTTCTCAGGAAAGCCCACTACTCAGAGATGGTACCCATGGGAGTAATCGACTGGTTTTTGTGGTCTCCTAGTGCTTCCGCCTTTCAAATGTTCCTGTTGCTAAATTGAGAGTTAACACCTCTCCCGTGTACACATCAAAAGCTGTGTGCTGCCTCAGAAACATCTCGTGGCGCTTTTTAAAGGCTTTGAAAGCATTTGTTTATTTGCCAGTGAGTTTAATAGAGAATATATGCCATATATAGATTTAGAGGATTTAAGAATAAGACTACAATAAAATTCAGCAGCAAAATAAAAGTAACAGTAACTTGATCTTTTAAAAAACATTATTTCAGGGGCGCCTGGGTGGCTCGGTCGGTTAAGCGTCCGACTTCGGCTCAGGTCATGATCTCACGGTCCGAGGGTTCGAGCCCCGCGTCGGGCTCTGTGCTGACAGCTCAGAGCCTGGAGCCTGTTTCAGATTCTGTGTCTCCCTCTCTCTGTGACCCTCCCCCGTTCATGCTCTGTCTCTCTCTGTCTCAAAAGTAAATAAACATAAAAAAAAAAAAACACATTATTTCAGAAGGCATTTTCAAATTCTACCTACAGTGCCTCGGGATCCATACCTTAGAAATTAATTTTCACCAAAAATATAAATGTAGTCACAGCAATAGTTGGAAATTTGCCTTTGGTTACTGGATTAAAGAAAAAAGAATTTACAATATATAAAAAGGTCTGTTTTTTAATAACTAAGAGCTAATTAAAATCCTAGGGGTAAGCACCTAAATACACTTCAGTTGAGTAGTTTCAAACCCAAGGACTGATGATCACAACAGATAGAGGCAGTGTGAGGACGAAGGAGCACATGACTTCGGTTAGAAAATCCAGCTACAGTAGTTAGTACCAGGTCCTGACCACCATTTACTATGTGACTGGACACTCAATTTCTCGGAGGCTCACTTGCCTTCAGCTTAAAACCATATCAATAATACATACTCTTCCTACTCATGAGCAAGATGAAATGAGACACCGTATATAAACATACTTTACCATATATAAAAATATGGTAAAAACACCACATATAAAAATATCATACAGGGTGCCTGGGTGGCTCAGTTGGCTAAAGCGTCCAACTCTTGATCTCGGCTCAGGTCATGATCTTAGTGTTCGTGAGCTTGAGCCCTGCGTCGGGCTCCTCGCTGACAGTGTGGAGCTTGCTTGGGATTCTGTCTCTCCCTCTCTCTGCTCCTTCCCTGCTCTCTCTTGCTCTCTCAAAAATAAATAAACCTAAAAAATATTTTGAATACCGTATATACACATATAAAAACATGTTAAATATAATGTGAACCTTAAAACTCCTACAAAAAATACATTTCAAGCCATTTCAAGAAAGGACTTTTGCATTATTTACCAACTTAAGATTTTTTTAAAACCCTAATAAAACCTAATCAACGAAAACAAATTTGTTTAAGAAACAAGTTTATTTTAATAGGGACAATCTTTATCCCATTATAGCTTCCGTCAGGATGAGGACATGTTAGACAAGGAAACCTGTTTGACAAGGAAAGAGTTAACATTCCGATTCTTATTAATTAGAAGCAAAAATATTTTAGCATCAAAGTGGATGTATCATATCTTGTAAATTATGTATTTTAATAAAAAATTATTGAATTTCAGCTGTAATAGTGTGCCAGGCACTGTGCCAAGTGTGTGTGTCTGTATATGCGCACAGACACGCACATACACATGCATACACACACGCACACACACACACACACAACCCTACACAAAATCTAATTTATTTCCCACCACAATGCTGAGAAATTAGAACTATTACTTTATAGATGGGGAAAACTAGAGCTTACAAGGATGAGTTCTTAACCCAAAAGGTCTCTTTGGTAGTAACTGTAACTCAACTATTGTGTTCATATTATTTTTTGAAATGATATTTAACATACTTTAGACAATGCATCATTGTAGCTTAGTTATGATTTTAAAGATTTTTCTCTTCAGTTCGTCACCCATTGATATTACCATCTTTTCAAATATACTCTGACATGGGTGCCTGGGTGGCTCAGTGGGGTTGAGTATCTGACTTTGGCTCAGGTCATGATCTCAGTCTGTGAGTTCAAGCCCCGCGTGGGGCTCTGTGCTGACAGCTCAGAGCCTGGAGCCTGCTTCGGATTCTGTATCTCCCTCTCTTTCTGCCCCTAACCCACTTGCATTCTGTCTCTGTCTCTCTCAAAAAATAAATAAACATTAAAAAAATTTTTTTTAATAAATAAATGTTTAAAAAAATTCTGACATTGTGAGGATTGTATCCAGCAGACCTTCAGCAATACCCGAACAGGACTATTGTGTGTAGTTTCCCATTTACACACAAAGGGCAGATCCAATCAGCATGACAAGCCTCCTTAGAGGCTGACATACCTCCAGGAGCTAAGCATCTGCAGCCCTGCCTGCACTCCCAAGTCCTGGAGGAAGGGACAGTTCAGGTTTGTACTTTAAAGAGGTCACACACATCTTGAAGATGAAATCAATCACATTTGGGTGTAGCTCTCAAATCACCAAAGTCAAAAATGTTAAATGTCTAATCATCAAAGATCTCCAACGCAGTATGTTTTCGGAAGGGCTAACAATTTTCCTATCAAAATATTTCTGATGCTCAAAGAAATTGTTTTTATTTTTCTTTTGAGAGAGAGAGAGAGAGAGGGAAAGATAAGAGAGAGAGAGAGAAAGAGAGAGACAGGATCCCAAGCAGTCTCCATGCTCCTGACGTGGGGCTCAATCCCATGACCCTGGGATCATGACCTGAGTCAAAATCAAGAGTCAGATGCTCAACTGACTGAGCCACCCAGGCGCCCCTAAAGAAAGTTTTCAACACATTTGTTCTCTGAGAGAGAAGGAACTTTAGCTTAGGAAGAGCGGAGATGTAAATGTGAAAACCCTTCCCTCTCCTGCTCAAGATAGTATTGTGCCTCCGTTTGTTAAATAAATTCAACGACTTATTCCCCACGGCACTCTTCCCCTGGGTCTTGAAATGTACACAATCTCCCAAATGTAGAGAAAAACCTCCCTTGAGAGTGATATCCACGATCTTCCTGGAATAGGATTCTTTACCGTCCCCAAGGAGTCGTTAGAGGATTACCTGCCAATATCCTTAATGGCAGCTATTTCAAGTGACATTGAACACCATTTCACCAGTATCTACTCCTCTCCTGGCATCGTGCCAGGTTGGGGGTGGGGCGGGGAGCTCGTGCAAAGATTCCTGTGTTCAGAAAGCTCAAAGTGTGAAGAAGAGGAAGACATACAAATAAGTTATGGTAAAGGGTCAAGCCTGAAACGAAAAAGAAGATCCAAAGAGGGGGGAAAGAGACAGGATAGAGCCAGAGAACATCGGTGGGCCACAGAGGGTTTAAAGAGCGGGCAGTGGTTAACAACGTCAAGGGAAGGGGAAAACCAGGGAAGACAGGGTCTGAAAGACAAGCCAACTTGGCTGTGAATGGAAAGGGAGAGAAAAGGCAACAGCTGGGGCGAAAGCACAGTCAAGGGAGAGGAGTCTATTAGCTGTGTCTTTATGTGCCTTGAGGGTGATAGATTCAATTTCTTTAATATGACAGCTGCCCCGGAAAATGTGATGGTGATCGATGGATATCTGAACAGCTTCAGATGTAATTAAATTAAGTTGGAGGGGAAAACATATCCCCTGGCACGCAGGCTCTAGTGTTAGATTCGCGTCAGGACTAGCCGGCATTCTGTTTGTTTAGTAAATACCACCTTCTCGAGTTCTGAAGCAAAATTTTAAATTCAGCATCGGAAAAGCAATTTTGC